TTCATCTCCTGGGCGTGCCAAAAGCGGTCTGGCCAGGTCAGCAGTAGCCCCGGGGCCTCATGCAGCTAATATGAGGGTGGGGGTGGCCATGGGTGGAGCACTAACCCTCTCTTACACAACTGAGGGGCACAATTATTTCCTAGCGTGAACTTGCCTGCACAGCTGTGAAGACTTCTTGAAGTAGCTTTGTTTAGTCACATGACCTTTGCTTTATTTTATTCAAAGGACCCTTAGGGTAGCCTGAAGGCTTCATCACGTGGCTGGAAAGGGACATAGTTTAGCTTGTGACCCTGTGGGCGCCAGATGGGCCATACCTTCAGTCTTCCTGGTTCAACCTGCCCTGGAGGCCAGCCAAATGTGACTCAGGAGCAGTCCAGCGATGGCCAGGGGATTTCAAGAAGGAAGAATCATCTTTGCTGCTTCCTTTTCCTGGGGTTGGGGTGGGAGGCCGGGCCGCGAGGGTCTCTCACGGAGGGGTAGAAAAGCTAGAGAACTGGAGAAATGGAGTCCACTCTAAAGACGGTCTCTCAGTAGGGCTACTGCAGAGCTCCCCACATGGAAGGGTCTGTACAGTGATGGGTGGGGTGCTAAACAGGGAAGCGAGTTTGTGGTTTGTGTTCTTTGGGGGGTTCTTTTTGTTTTGTTTTGCGTTCTGGTCTTAGGGACAAGATACAAACTGAACGAAAGTGTCAGTTGAAGACTTTGGGACTATAAGATGTAAGTCAATGAAAAACCGTGTGTGGTGCATGTCTACAGCTTTAGAACTTGAACTCGGAGGCAGGAGGATCCAGGAGATCAAAGTCATCCTTGCCTGACCTGAGTTTGAGGTCATCCTGGGATTCATGAGATCCTAGCTCAAAACAAAATACCAGGAAACATCCATCTATTCATTCAGTGGAAGCCAAGAGAGCGAGCAAAAGAACATTTTAAATATATATATATATTTTGGGAGAATTCTTATTTATATGTATATATGATGTCTCTGTGTATATTCAACAGGACACTGGTGAAGGTCAGAGGACAACTTGATTGTCAACAGTTTTCTTCTTCCATCATGTGGGCTGGGGGACTGAACTCAGGTCGGCAAGCTTGGTGCTAAATACCTTTATCCATTAACCTATCTTTCTGGCCCCCAAGTTTTAAGTTGTTTACAGATGAGAAAATTTCAAGTTAAAGCAGTTCACTCAAGATCCCACAGGTGGGAAGTATGTGTTTGTTCATGGCTTGGGTTCAAAAGGTCAATATCCCCCCCCCCCCCCCATGGCCTGGGTGGCTTAGAACTACATCTAACTACAGTTCCAAGGATGTGGTGCCCTCTCCTGGTCTCCATGGGCATCTGCATGAGCATGCAGCACATACAGACAAGCAGGTACACATCCACATACATATAACCTCAAACAAACAAAAGCCGCTCACCTGTATGGCAGGCTGCAGGTTGCTCTTGGTTACAAATCCATCTCACAGCAAGTAGAGTCAGGGAGACTAGGGCTTTTGGTTTTGTCCCTCAGCTGGGACACAAAGTACCACCAACTGATAATATCAGCAAGGTGTGCACGCGTGCCACACTGAATGTGCCTTTTGCACATCTGTGCTGTGGTTTCAGTCCTCCGTGTGTGGTCCCATCATAGCCTCCCTTCTCCCCCTTCCCACTCCCTTGTCGCGGCAGTTGTTAGACATTTCCCATTTGTCTGAGAACTTCTTCTGACCCCTCAGTGTCTGCTGATGACTTTGCCGCAGACTCCTTCAAGAGGACGGAAGCCCTGGAGCAGAAACTTCCCTGTCACCCATGTTCTCTGTCTCATCGTGACAAAGGCCCCCTCTTCAGGAGCATTTTTCCTTGTGCACCCAGCTGAGAACGTTGTTCCCTACATCACATGTCTAGGATCTGGTCTGTTGATATCAGAGCTTTCTGTGAGTGTTTGTTTGCCTCTGCTTGCCTCTCGGTTTGGAATTATGGTTCATGGCTCCATAGACTCGGCTTGTCATGGGTGTGTGTAGCCTGCTTGGGCCTTAGTACAGCAGTAAATGCTGTAATTTCCATGGGTCGGTGCCGACAACCTCATCTCATCCTGATGATCCCCTACCCCCGCCCCAACTGATATCCTTAGAGCTGCTCATCGTTCTCAGGCTTCTCGGTCACCTAAACTAAGATCTTAGGGCCTTCTTTGGCTCCATTTCCCCCTTCTTCCCACCCGTGCTTAGCCCTGAGTCTTTTGTATGTGTTGGGGGTAGGGGGTTAGTGCTGGTACTGCAGATTGATTAATCACAGGGCTTTCCTCAAGGCAAGCACTTAACCACTGAGCTACATCCCTAGTCCATTTATTTTTATCTTGTGACAGGGTCTCACTATTAGTCCAGACTGTCCTTGAACTCTCTCTGTGGTCCTCGCAGGCTTTGGCTTGGGATTCTCCTGTCTGTCATTCTTGAGTAGCTGGAGTTCCAGGCCTGAACTACCTTGTCCGGGTCCAAGTTCTATTGACTTACCTTGGTCACTTCTGGATTCTGTCCCCAACTCTGATCGCCTGTCCTTGAGGCTACAATATGACCTATGGGACCACTGGCCAGAGCTACTTAATTTCTCCCATTAGGCCACCCCCTTCACAGGGAGAGCTGTGCAGAGAGCAATTCCATTATTTCATCAGTGACCCTGCTGATTATAGCATCTGTCCGTCCATCCATCCATCCATCCATCCATCCATCCATCCATCCAACCATCCACCCACCCATTCTTCATCACGCACCCACCATTTGCTGAGTGGCAGTCCTGTGCTGCCCAGTGGGAGGGGCTGGGGCAGAGTAGCCAAAAGTACAATCTTTCCTTTCATATCAATTTTTAATCCCATAGAAGGGGACAGAAATAAACAACCCAAATCGCAGAAGCATTATGGGTACTTTTTGTTCATTCACCATCAATTATTCATTGATTTCTCCCTATGTGCCAAGCACTGTAGGTGCTGGGATGTAGCTGCTAACAAGACATAGTCCCTGCCAGAGGGCCCACTTTCTGGTGGTGGGGGGGGGGCGGCGGCAGTGGCTAAATATACAGTGGAGATGCTGTGTAGGGAAACGAAGCAAGGCCAGGGGCACATGTGTGTGGGTTTGCCCCTATGTAGATGGTGCTCTCAGGTTCTCCCTATGAAGATGTTTGCTGAACTGAGATGTGCAGATATTGGGGGAGCAGCCTTGTAGCTTAGGGAGCTGCTGATACCTTGTGCGGAGGTCCTGGGTTGGGAGCACATCTGTTAGGGTGTGCAGAGGAGCAAAGGGAGAAGGGAGCAGGTCTCAGAGCGCGGCACAGAACTCCATGACCACCTTCAGGTCTCTGCTCCCCTCCAAGGCCTGGCCTTCTTCAGGAGGAACCAGCTACCTCTGAGCAGGTCATTCTAGTTCCTGCTTTGAGCAGGCACGCTCAGCATGGTGGCTTCCAGTTGGCAGTGCCACCTGTGGGAGCTCCCCGAGTCTTTCTAGAGTTTTAGTTCTTTCTCTCTTGGTCCATTGGGCACACAGTAGGTGGTTCGGTGCACATTCCAAGCAAGTGCTTTTGGAAAACAACTTGTTTTGTTACTAGAGTGAACTAGTAGATATGCAGGCAGACGCACGGGCTCTTTTCCACACATCAGTTGGTTTTTTTTTTTTTTGAATCTTAAAGTTCCAGTGCGAGCAACAGCGTCATGAAATTAATTTGTCACCAGTGCCAGCCTCAACTGACTCACAACCTGAGAGGGAGTTTCTGAAAGTGTGTTTCTCATCTATGTGCTAATTTCTCTTCCCTTCTCAGCCACCAGTTCTTCCTCTCAAGCTTGTAGGTGACAATCACCTTCGGGTCAGTGGTACTTGTACCTCCTTCTGTCCCCACTGAGCAGATGGTTTCCATCTCTGGGACCAGGAGAGGGAACAGACACACACACACACACACACACACATACACAGAAACATAAAGAAATACAGATACACTCAGAGCAATAGACACGCAGAAACACACACACATATTCATACACACATACCTATACATACATACATGCATACACACACATAAAGAAACCTAAATACACAGAAACATGCAGAAACACACAGACACACTCAGCAATAGACACAGAAACACACATGACACGTACACATAGCTAAACACACACAGACAGAAATACATAGACACACAGGTTAACACAAACACGCATGCACAATGAACCCAAAAATGTATCCTTCTATCTTGAAGGGGGTTACAAAATTTCCCCTTCTTGAGGCTGGAGAGATGGCTCAGCAGTCGAGAGCATGGGCTGCTCTTCCAAAGGACCTGGGTTCTATTCCCAGCAGCGATATGGTCACTCACAGCCATATGTAACTCCAGCTCCTGGGGTGGGGGTGCAGTCCAACATCATCTAACTTCCTCAGAACATAACACAGACATGGTATATGTACATAACACAGACAAAACACTCACATATAAAATAGAACAAACCAGTCTTGTATGAATGATACTGTTTTTGAGAAGTCCTTATTAGCCCAACACACATTGAAGCCAGCACTGTTCTAGGGCTGGACCTGTAGTGGCAAATAAAATGGGACATGGGGAGTGTCCTTGCCACCGTGGAGCTTGGTTTCAGCACCGCCTTCAGAAGGGATTTTCAGTAAAGAAGTGAACTGCAGAGGAACTAACCAGAGCAGGAACGCCGAACAGGGAATGCTGAGGATAAGAACTGAAAACAATGTGACCAGGGAGGCACTAAACCTGCCATTCTAGGATCACCTGAAGCAGGGGATCCAGGCAGCTGGATCATGGTGGGGTCCTGAGGGGGAAGTGCAGTTGTTGTTTTGTGGGTGTGGCTGTGGCAGAGAGAGTTGGGAGCTCATGGAGGGCCTTAGCAGCATCACCACTGTTGAGGGGAGACTGGGGGAGGCCTGGGGGAGGCAGGGGGAGAACTGGGAGAGAAGGCAGAGGATAGAGCTCAGCTCTGGGTGGCAACAGTGACAGGGAGTGGCTGGACTTTTGCTTTTTGGGTCAGGTGGTAGGACTTGTGGAGGAGCTGGATTGGGAGAGTGGCAAAAAAATAGAGACATAAGTGACCCCACAGCCCTGGGGCTGAGCAGGCTGGAGATGTGAGGACAAGTGGGGAGCCAGCTGTGGGTGGGCTCTGCTCTGCTCTGCAAGCTTGAGGTTGGGGATTTCACTTTAGGTGGAGACGTCTGGTGGGCCGGGGTGTTGCTGGAGTCGTCTGTTTTAGGGTTCCATCTGGGGAGACTGGAGTACTGAGTCAGGTGGTCTCACCTAGACTCTGGGCGAGTGAACTGCTCTACTGGCACAGTGAGCTAGTTAGGCACTGAGCCCCCAATTCCTATTTTATTGTTGGGAGCTACAGACCCCTGTCCTTTTGACTTTCTTTGCCTGCCTCAGACCCTTTGCCTGCCGGAGTGAACTGAGCAAAACAACTTGTTTACCTGTGCCTGCAGCTGCTCTGAGCACGAGACCCTGATGGCAGGTGAGTGGGTTCTGGTGAGGCCTGCAGCTGAAAGATCCCGAGAGCTGGGGTGTGGCTGTCAGTTAAGGATCCATATATAACCTGCCCCTAAGCCCAATAAAGTTGGCATTCTTGGCACTCTTGTATCAAGGATGACCCGTGTCCCCGTGTCTTTGTCTGTGTGTGTGTGTTTTTAAGTCTCCAGCCTAGTTCCCGGCTCTCATACCGTCCTGTAGTGCAGGCGCTACATTTTATGTCTTAAGGCATTTTTAGGATCATTCTGAGCACTGTTTGCCCGCCCCAATGATGTATGCCAGTCAGCTGTATGCTTAGTAGATGCTAATACCGTGCCAGGAGATGGAAGGGTAGCTCAGTAGTCCACCAGCAGTACTGAAGTGGAGCATGCTCAGATCTGAGAGTCTATGGACAAAAGTGTTCAGCCTTTTCACTAGATTGAATACTAAACTAATGGCTAATACAGTACAGTCTCTACATATAATGAAATAAGTTAAAGCATTAAAAATCTTACTCATGACATTCTATTTTCATTATTGTGATATAATAGAAAATACGAAAAAGGTTGTGGGTTTTCCCTCCTTCCTTAAGAAGTATGTACCAGCCGGGTGGTGGTGGCGCACGCCTTTAATCCCAGCACTTGGGAGGCAGAGGCAGGCGGATCTCTGTGAGTTCTGTGAGTTCGAGACCAGCCTGGTCTACAAGAGCTAGTTCCAGGACAGGCTCCAAAACCNAAAAAAAAAAAAAAAAAAAAAAAAAAAAAAAAAAAAAAAAAAAAAAAAAAAAAAAGAAAAGAAAAGAAAGAAAAAAAAAGCAGTATGTACCAAGTGCAGACATTAGCAGTATATATCAAGCAAGTGTCTTCCTGTGGCCTAGCTTGCTTATGGGAGGTGGCTGTAATATTATCAAGATCAAATAAGTTTTCTGTCAGGAAAATGCTAAAATCATATACATCCATCCAAATTTACTTTGTTTTCAAAAGTGCTTGAATTAATATTGAGTACTGTCTTAGGGTTTCTGCTGCTGCAACCAGACACCATGACCGAAGAGCAAGCTGGGGAGGAAACGGTTTATACTGCCACACTGCTATTCACCAGAAAAGAAGTCAGGACAGAAACTCAAACAGGGCAGGATCCTGGAGACAGGAGCCGATGCAGAGGCCATGGAGGAGTGCTGCTTACTGACTTGCTCCTCATAGTTTGCTCATCCTGCCTTCTTATAGAACCCAGGACCACCAGTCCCATCCACAATGGGCTGGGCCCCTCCCCATCAATCACTAAGAACATGCCTACAGCTGGATCTCACAGAGGCCTTTTCTTCAACTGAGTATCCTCCTCTCTGATGACTCTAGCTTGTGTCAAGTTGACACACAAAATCAGCCAGTACAAGTACATACAACACTAAGCAAATGAATTAAATAATCCAATTATTAATTCATGAGAACACAAGCTATTCAGAGGAGAAAATGTAATTATAGTATACTATATCTCTCAGTTCTGAAGAGAGTTTATATAACCACAGCCATAGAAATAATAATCACTGAGGAAATAGAAATCTATTTAAAATATATAGACACAGAGGGGAAAGAGGAGAGGATGTGTGGGAGAGATAGATAGATGGATGGATAGACTGAGACAGATACAGAGACAGGCAGATTGTAGACAGGCAGGCAGAAAACCAGGGACTGGAGAGAAAGAGCGTATGTGCATGCGGTAGAGATAGCCAAATCTTTTTTCCTTGATAGGAATGTAATAATTGAAAAGTGAAGAACTAGTGGTTAAAAACAGGTTGTGTAGACTGGTGTGTGCTAATAACACGGCGGTCAGTTAGAAACACTAACCTGCAGCAGCTGCTGTTTTCATACACTAGTGCTTATAACACTCACCAGAGAGTGTTCATGAAAATAATGAAGGTTGGTGAAAAAGAAGGACAGCAAAGGCTGTTGAACCCCAACTGAAAGGGGGTGGGGGGGCTGTCTGGCCAGGACAGTGTCAACTTTTCCCTATGTTTTGTCTCTGTGCCCTATGATGCGCAGAACTGGACTGGGCTGGGAAGTAGGTGGCATGTTTACTCTTGGCATCAGATATGTCTTTGAGGTTGAGATTCCTTAGTTTGGACAAGGTGCTGAGCACTTCGGGGTTGTCTTGGAGGGCATCCGTCCTCCTATCTCTGAGTCTCGGAGGACTTGGGGTGACTCCCTTCTGGAGCTTCCCTGCTGCTCTGGGCTGTGCACCCATGGTCACGTGCCCTGGGTGCAGCATGCCCTCTCTCTTGTCACAGGTGTGTCTCTAGAGCAGAGAGACTGACAACAGCCCGTGGAGGGCGCAGCCCGTGGAGGGCGCAGCCCGTGGAGGGCGCAGCCCGTGGAGGGCGCAGCCCGTGGAGGGCGCAGCCCGTGGAGGGCGACGGGTGTGAAGCCACACTGCTCAGTCCATCCCCTCTGTTCCCTGGGCAAGGGTAAGGTCTAGTGGGATGACCAGGCACCAGACTGTACTAACAGATGGGAAAATGTGATTCTGTTAGGTTGGAGGGGATGGTGTGGGTGTGGGAGGAAGCTGCGGAGAACTGTGACAGCCAAAGAGGGACCAAGGACTTTGAAAAGCTGGGTAGGCAGGCTGCTAGGTGGGCGCTCAGCTCAGCTTCGGGGGGAAAACTGTCTCCCAGTTGGTTGTGAAAGGTGTTCCTTGCATGTGGGTCCCTATAGAATAATAGAAGATGGACAAAATGCTTCGAGAAATACTTCGTGATCAAAGGAGTCTCTGAGTAGGACTGAGGAGCTAGAATGGAGTCTGAAACTCTTTGCCTTGGTATAAGGCCAGGGGACTGTCACCTCTTGGAGGGAAGGATGGCGCCCTAGCTATGTACATCCCGACCCCCACAGTCACTGGGCTGGTCCCTGGGTGCCTAGTCCTAGTTGTGGTTTGAACCAAAAGGGCCATTAAGACACGGGTTCATGGGGGCTGGAGAGATGGCTCAGAGGTTAAGAGCATTGCCTGCTCTACCAAAGGTCCTGAGTTCAATTCCCAGCAACCACATGGTGGCTCACAGCCATCTGTAATGGGGTCTGGTGCCCTCTTCTGGCCTGCAGGCATAGACACAGACAGAATATTGTATACATAATAAATAAATAAATATTAAAAAAAAGACACAGGTTCATTCACCCTATGGAAGAGCATAGTTCAGGAGTTAGTCACCCGTTGAGAGCCCTTACCTGGGGGGGGGGGGGGGGGCATGTGTGTGGCTAGAGCCAGTTTCCCCAGATCTTCCTTATTTCCATGCCTTGCTGTAGCTTGAGGAATTTAGTTGGGTCACAGGGTGGCGAAGTGCACTCTCAAGCACACCTGGCCTGCACACCTGGCCTTGGTTGGGCACATTGCAGCTGTGTGGCTTTGCTCCCCCGACACAGCTCATCCTCGCCCCAAAGTCCCAAGGAGTGAATGAGACCTACACACAGAGCTCACTGCCCAGCTCCTTGGCTATATGCCAGCCCTTCCTGGCAACCCTGAGGACTTGAGTTCCGGCCGGCTGGGAGCTTGTAATCTAGGTGCTAGGGAGGTGGAGGCAGGTCAACCTTGGGGGTGGATGGCCAGTCAGTTCTGTTGAAGGGAGCGGGGCCCCTTGTTCCATATGCCCGCCCGGCTAGCTTAACCCCCGAAATAATCATACAAGGGAGGTGGAGGCAGGTCGATCTTGAGGGCAGACGGCCAGTCAGTTCAGCCTTCCGGGTGAGCTCCAGGCTAATAAGAAACCCTGCCTCAACACACACACACACACACACACACTCGCACGCACGCACGCACACACACACACACACACACACTCAAAGTGACAACCGAGGAGGGACACCAGAAGCAGTCCTCTGGTCTCCATACACACCTGTGCATGTGCACACCCACCCACAAGTTGCTGTTATTTGTCATGATAGCGGCAGGAGTGGCTCCCAGACACTTGAAGAGGTCACCGCTCCTCCCCCCATCCAGGGCATGGGTCCCCAGCTGCCGATGGACTGACTACCTTATGACCTTGGCTTTTGTTTTATTCTTGCTCTCAGGAAGACCAGATTGTTTTACACGAGAATCCTTTTCCTGCATTGCATCAGCCTCTGGTTGGCCATTTACGTGCGGTGGCCAAAGGTTCATGTGTTTTCTCTCTATATGTGGTATGGAGGTGCTGCCTAACAATAGCTTAGCAAATAGTTATTCTAAGCTCTTCAAACAGAAACCCCGGGCAAAGGGCTCCCGTGCAAGGCGGCCTGCCTTCCCTGTTACCCCCTTCTGTGGCTGAGTCAGCAGCTCCTCCAGGGCCCTCCTCCAGGCCCTGGGTCTGTAAGGGCACTAATGGAATCTGCTGGAAGCGAATTAACTCGTGAAGAAAGGGCTAACAAATCACTTCAGCGGTCAGTGTCGGCCCTAGCTTGACCAGAGCTTCCCCATCCGTTCATGAGTCTTCTCCCCACTTTGCATCCCCTTTCTGGGGAGCCCTGGGTGTAGTGGGGTCTCAGCCCTGAAGTGGCAGAGATATGGCTGGCAAGGTGAGATGCCTGTGTGGCTCACTGCGGCCTCCTGTGTGGGAAGCTTATGCAGGCCTCCTGCCTTGTTCGCACTGCTGGCTTTAGACTGGCCTAGTCCTTAGTCCTTAATCTGGGATGAGAAACCTTAATTGAGAAAATGTTTCCTCCAGACTGCCTGTAGGAAAGTCTGTGGGAGCATTTTCTTGATTAATGATTGATGTGGGAGGACCCAGTCCACTGAAAGGAGTGCCACCCTTAGGTAGTTGGTTTGGGATGTATAAAAATCAAACTGGGCAAGCCATGGGGAGCAAGCCAGTCAGCAGCACCCCTCCTTGGCCTTTGCTTTATAATAAGTTCTTGCCTCCAAGTCTTTGTCCCAACTTCCCTTAATGATGGAGCATGAACTGAGGGCTGTAAGATGAAACAAACCCTTTCTTCTCCAAGTAGCTTTTGGTCATGGCTTTTTATCACAGCAAGAGAAATTCTAAGACAGTGA